TCGTCCTTCGTGTGATGAGGATGTGCTTTTAGCTATTGAGTCGATGGAGAGCCGCTTGGAAGACGAGCAGCGCGTCGGTGAAATTGTAGGACTACTAGATTCTGGTGTTTCTGGGTCTGGCGCAAATGATGGAATTGAAGTAGTGTAGCATGTCATGCATTAGCTCGTCGTGCACATCAGATTTTGAATATTAATACACGTACCACATGGAATAGTACATATTTTGAATACAAATTTCTATATATTCACTAACCAAAAAAAAGTCACTCAAGTATACTGGAACGGAGGAAGTATTAATTGTACACCGGAACTCAGAACTTCAATTGTACCGTTACACATATGCAGTTCGGATATTCGAGGGATTATCCGGTTAATTGTGTCCACATTTGGGACATTGCCCTTTTTGAAATGTCCAGGTACAAAAATCCCCGGGAAAAGTTATCAAATAACGTTATCCGTATTTACGAGGTACAGCTGTAGGAACGATTTTTAGGGACAGCGAGTTGCGAATGCTCTTTCCAACTACTACGTACTCCGAGTAGTAGTATATCGTTAGCATGTGATAGATTTTGAGTTACTAGTACTGTATACTCTATGTCAGTTGTTGGTAGACTGTACATGGACTCGTCTCATGGAGGTACAGCGTATGACAATACAAGTATGGTGCACGTCATCTATAAACTACCAACTTTTCACAAAAATGTCTGACTTCTATTTCATATTCATTACTCAAAATTTCAGCAAATTGAGACGTAGAATTGACAGATCTCAATGTAATGAAGAAATTCTACGTCTCAGATTCAAATTTGGTGTTGAATTGGTCCAGAAATAGATATTTAACCTAGCGATATTTTACATGGGCGCTTGGATATTTGGCCATAGGGGTGGCCGCTGAGATGTATCTTGATTTTTGTATGTGACTCTTATCCGTATATAATATCCGGAGGCAGTTGGGACCTTTAACCTCCCACTGCAGTGATAAAACGCATGAAATCGGTATTTAACGTATTTTGTTTTTGGGTTTAACTACATTAATTGTACGTTAAATAATAAAACCTCCACTCCTCGATTTGGCCAGTTGGAAGTTTTTAGATGACGTGCACCATATATCGGGTAGCACCCAGATCAGTCGGTCCGTAGCCGAGAACAGGAAGTTCACCACCATCACCGACGGCAAGGGTGAAGGATTTGGCGACAAAGGCGGAGTCGATAAAGTAGCGACGATGAGGTGTGCAAGAGGCGTTAGCGCCGGATTCAATCATCCCTTTGTTGGAGAGTTGGGGATAGAGCGAAGGTTCCAAGGGAAATGGGTTTGTGTGGTTGTAGAAGGAGACTTTCAGGCAGAGAGTGTCCCAGGTGATTCCAACGTAGAAGGGAAATTGGGTTGTAAGAGTGGGAGGCGTGGGGTTAGCGGTGTAGGCCTTGAGCTGGAGGTTTTCTTTAATGAGCGGCAGCAGAGATGGTGGACGCGCTTTGGGATGGAGGCCAGTTTGGTCTTTGAAGAGGTGATAGGCGACGCATTTGTCATAGAAAAGTTGGTGAAAGGCGTCGGCGGTAATATTCGCCATGCGAACGTAGGGAACATCGAGGATTGGACCCCAGAGGTCTTCTTCATCGGAGGAGTACACCTCTTTGCAGTTAAGTTGGACGAATGCCCGGTATATTTGGTCATGTGCCCGATATATTTGGCGGTGTGCTCGATATAACTCGCCATGTGCCCGTTAAATTTGGCACCCGCAAGTCGTGTGACCGATATATTTGGCGGTGTGCCCGATATAATTGGCCGTTAAAATTTCGGAGGGAGTTGAAGTAACGTTATGGACGAAACGTTGAAGTATAGGGGAAACAATCTGTCGCGCGCAGAGCTCATTTTCGATTTACCTCAAGGAACGCACCCACGATGGACGCGCGGATGCCATGGGCAACATGGGCGTTGGTATGTGACGACACAGCAAGGATGCGGCATGTGTCGTTTGACGACCATTTCTATATTGAATTGACTTTTTATTGCGTGATTTCCATTTTCATCCGCCACACGACACAATTCATCGGGCAGATGGCCAATGACTTGGGCGCACGGCCAATTATATCGACCACACCGCCAAATATATCGGGCACACGCCATGCGGGTGCCAAATTTAACGGGCACATGGCCAATTATATCGGGCACACCGCCAAATATATCGGGCACATGACCAAATATACCGGGCATTCGTCCAACTTAACGGCAAAAAGGTGTACTAGGGGCGAGCAGCACGAGGAGGCGGAGGTTCACTTTAAGCAGGCGGATCGACGTAATCGGCAGGCGTGGGAGGTCGAGTAGTGCCTTTGTTGGAGTTGGGAGGTGTGCGCGGAGGATGAATGCGGTAGGCAGGAAGAGGGGGAAGTAGAGGGTCATCCACCGTGGAAGAGGCGGAAGGGAGTGTGATATAGTTTTGCTGAAAGGGGCTGTGGTGGGATGGTGAGTGCTGTGGTCGTAGGCCAAGCGAGAGTAGTAGACGTAGAAGAAGATGAAGGGCGTGTTGATGTGGGTGTGGTAGGCGGAACAGACGACTGGGTAGGTGGTGGTAGGGGTTTGGGATTGGAAAGGTGTTGGCGCTTCGCAGGTGGCGCCGATGTAGAGCGCCGAAGAAAGGTGGAGGAAGGGTGAAAAGTTTGGGACATATTCCATCCAGCAGTAGCGGATGGGCGTGGTGGGAAGGCGCGTCATAGTGGAGACGATGAGCATCGAGGGTGGGCGGATTGAGGATGAGGTTGGGAGCGGTCACGATTGGGTGGGCGTAGCTGGGTCCGAGAGGAACGACCACGCTGGGTGGAACGTGGAGACGATCGACGGGTAGAAGTACGTAGAGGCTGTCGAGAGTCATCACGATGGCGCTTGGCGTAGCTGCTGTTGGGCACTGATCATTTCCATGGTCGTCGTCGTTAACGTCACGGTGATGATACTGCGTATGACCATAATTAATTTTGCGTCACGACGCGTTTTCGACGACAATGGGTGTCAACAACATGCTTGGGAACTCCGGCACGGATGCGGTTCCGACTGTCGTCATCGCGCATGGTGCGGCAGTCGGGAAGGCGGTGTTCAGGCGAACCACAGTAGAAGCAGTAGTTGAAAGGATAATAGTGAGCGTGCAGCGATGACGTCAAGTCATTTCAACGAACAGCTGGCGCAGTTCCATGCGCAGCAAGAAGCCATGTCGAGCGGATGGAAGATGAGTCGTCCCGACAGTTTGCGATGGCGAAGGCGATGGAGAAAAATCGACTGGAACAAGAAGATTCTCGAGCGATTCTTTTACGTCAACAAAAAAAGAACGGGTTCGTCAGCAAAACGAACTTAAGCGAGCGATGGCCGAACAAGCCAGGGTCTCGGAAGCGCATCGAGAAATGCTCCGCCAGGCGACGGATACGATGCGCCAGCAGAACTACAAGTAGAAGAGCTGAACCATAAAGTCCGACGGGATAGCGAGCGATGGGGATTATTCGCTGAAGCGACGAATCAACGATCGCTATTTCCGTCCGAACAAGCGGCCCCGACAAGCCGCATTGAGAACCTCATGGGTGTGCAACAGGTGCCGCTGGCACGTATGTACAAGGGCAGCACGAAGCGCGAGCGTCGTGAGTTTATGGACGAGTATCTAGCCTACTCGCGACCTGTCGAAGTGCTCAACCGCGGCATGGGTGAGAACATTTTTTTTATGCTGTTGGCGGCATACATTGACCCGAAGATTGTACCGCGTGTGTGCGCACATGATTTGGGAAAGTCGTTTGAAGAAATCACCGAAAACGACTGGTGCGATTACTTTTTATCGGCACGTGAAGTCCAAGAGTTGGACCTGGACTCTGTGGCGAAAGCGATGGCGTCGCTCAAGGTGGACATGAAGTTCTGTGACGCCGAGTCTCGAGTCGGTCGACTGCTAGCCGATTTCTACGACATGTTGGAGCAACTGGATGTGGCGCACTTGCCGGAGAAGAAACCGAAGCAGTAGGTGAAGATTCTCACGGTAGCGATTCGACCGTAGGGAAACTAACAAGTCGTACAAGTCCGAGTCGTTCTGTCGCTGGTTAGTGTCCCTGAAGGACAACTTCATATTGTTCGAGTCGCAATTAGTTGCGATGGATCCCAAGCCGGATCAGAATCGGCCGCGGCAATATTGCGAAAAACCGCGGCGCCAATTACCACCGAAGAAAGCGGACAGCGGGGCGCCAGCCAGAGCCCCGGCGATGGCCGCTACAAGCGCCTTGTATGCGAGGGGATGTTTGAAGTGTACAAGGTGTTGAAGTGTCCAAAGTGCCAGCTCGGAGAAATCCTGGACCAGCGACTCAAGAAACCGCACGTCGCTGCTGTGGCCGCGACACCGACAAGAAGACCAAGGTTATTGGCGCAGCCGTGGCTGTGAACGAAGCGGTCGAAGCTCACTCATCGCACCATGGATTGCGACATCAATGGCCTCAAGGCGACGACACTACTCGACAGTGGTGCTGATCAATCTGTGTTATCGCCGACGTTTCTATTACGTCTGGAAGAAACGGGCAATTTTACGTCACCGGTACGACAGTTGAACGACGTGATGGAATTGGGCGGGTCCATAGAAGGCATGAAGCTCGATGTGGACCGCGACGTCAAGTTACGTCTGACCTTTGAAGCGGCCGAAGGAACGCTGGTTATCACGAAGCTCAAGTGCTGGGTGGCAGTAGCGCCAAGATGGTCTGGGCGACCTAATCGTGAGTCGCGACGTGATGGCGAAGCTCGGTATTTTCCCCGTTCGTTGCCGCTGAATGCGCGGCGGGCGCAAAGTGTGTACGACCGGGAACAGTTTGGCGGCAAGGACACGCCGCTAATGGCCGCCATGAAGGTGGTCGAAGCGATGGAAAAACTACCATCATCGGCTGAAGAAGCGTCGCTGTATCCCGAGGAAGAACAAGCATGTTTTCCTCAAGTGACTCCTGATTGATCGAGTGAAGGACAAGGTCAGCTAATGTCGTACCGCGGGATGCGGCGAGGATTTCGCTACGGCGCTGTGGGTGCTATTTTGCGCTACGAAGACGTGTTTCGGCTTTCTTTGGGCCGAGATCCGCCGGTGGATCTAGCGCCGCTACATGTGATGCTCAAGGCTGGCGCAGAACTGGTGCGGTGCAATTCGAAGGAGCAGCGGGACTTCATGGCCAAGCACGTTGACGAGCTACAGGCGGCGGGTTTATGCTACCGCAATCCCCGGTCAAAAAGGGTGCTCGGCACCATTAATCGTCAAGATGCCCGAAGACAACGATATTCGCATGACTGTGGACGTCCGTCCAGTGAACGCACAGACGGTGCGCATCATTTGGCCGATTCAGATGTTGGAGGTGATTTGGATACCTCGCAGGTGCTCCGCGAACGGACGCGATCCATTGCATTGCAGAGCGTTGATCTGTCCAAAGGTACTCGCGCATAAAAGCGAGTCTTTCAGCCTTGGTCGAGCCCGAAAATGTCAGTGGTTATGGGATTGCCGGTGCGTTCCAAACTTGCGGCACTGTACGGCCGTAACCGCCATCACTGCCCATGTCCGTATCGCCACGGACACCTGAAGGGTCGTTGTCAGCTGGCAACGGCACTGAAACGCCATCTGCTTGAGTCGTTGGCAGAGCAGCAGCTGGCATAAACGCTGCGACAGCTGGTGTTACTCGGGTTGTGGCAGGGGTGTAAAACCCAAACGTGGCAGTTGCCTCTCGTCGGCAGCAGGTGGCTGTTGTCGTCGGGGAGATCTCAACGGGTTCTCCACGGTGCGCCGAGCGACGCGTCCTCGCGGCTCTTCGATCCGGTAACGCGACCGCGATCGTTCTTCGACGTTCGTTGGCGTTTCCTCGTCGGAGGAATGTTCTCGTACCATTCCCATGAGAATTGCTCAACAATGAACTGAAGATATCTTTGTTTTGTCTCCCGCTTCTTCTTGGTTTTCGGCCACCGGCCCTTCGTCAAGGCAGCAAATGTAACACTGACATTAGTGAGGTTAAACACGCCACGAAGTGCCTACTGACTATCATTCACTAAAGTACTCAGTACCTCCACTAAGGTATCGGAACCTTCGGAATGACACACACACAGAGTGTGTGTGTTTGCAATGGGTCAAATCGACGAACGACCCAATTGCTCTGCACGCTGCAGAACAAATCCACAGTAACGTGCGGCGACTTTAACATGATGACAACACGATAACAACATGATGACAGCATGATGACAACTGGTATTGCTGTTGTAATATCACTGATATATTTTCCCAAGGCATTGATCCCAATTTGTCCGTAAGCTGTAAGAATTGATGGGTCAGATGTTTTCTATTTCAATCCTAACTGCTCAGGAATTTTGGGGTGGATTATGCCTTTTTCGTGTGGAATTAGGTGAAGCGTGTGTTGTGCTCGGTGAAGATTGTGTGGAACTCGGGATTTGTATTGTGTTATTAGGTCTTGTGTGCATTTCGTTAAAAATCGTGTTTTTTCGGTCGTTTTCGTTTATTTCGTTGTTTAGTGTGTAACAAATAAAGGTCCTCTCCCTTGGATCTGCCAGGCCGCCCCAGCGTGTGTCGATGTCGTGGACATGCCAATGCACGTACAGCGGCTCTTCGACGGCAGCGTCGTGCCCAATCGCATCACCACATTCGTGATGGAAATGGCCAAAGTGTTTGGCACGCCCGCGTTATGCAGCAACATGGATCGCCATTTTGCCCTTTCCCTATCAAGCGTCATTGTGGGCTTCCAAGAGCTGTGAAAACCATCAAGGTCAAACTCGTGAATTACGACGTGCTCGTGCGAGGATGGGGACTGCAGGTGGCGATTGCAACCCCCGAGGCAATGATGGAAATCATGATGAAAGTAAACGCCCAATCCAGCAGAGCTGGCTACGATGTCAAACCTCGTCGGCATTAGGTATATGGATTCATGACGGAAAAGTACAATAAATTTGCGTACACATACATGCCTACACTATTGGTGGTACTACGATGGAGCAAGCGAGCAGTTATATCAGCACTTTTCCAGTCGACCAATTCCTCCATGGGTCACAAATCACCGATTTTGACCGTCATGGATTTATATAAAGTTGGATATCCAATTCCTAGGGTATGTCTCGATATTTCATGTAAGTAGTGAAAGGGCACGTGGAAAGCATGCTTATCCTTTCCCAACAACTACACTCCTCATTTGGCAAAATGGCTGCTGCATACGCGTGTGGAAGTGTTATAAGGATCCCCACGCCTCCCGACAAGGTTTCATGGATGAACTGCAGTGGCAACTTGGCTATCCTCTATCTGTACCGCCATATATGAACCCCACCCAACCTTACGAACCTGATGTCGTGCTCATACAGTGCGCGTACCAAACCCGTCGGTTTGTTGCATTTATCTCAGGATCATGATTCAACAACTACCGTAGGTGATTGCAAGGGCAATCTCACATGTTCATTCATCGTCGTGTTTGTGTTCCCGGGAACACGATTAGGTTTTGGTGGGGGCTGTAGTACACATTCACATCTTGGGGGATCTGGGGAACTTGCGCTTGTCCACAGGTTGACCGTTCAGCTTCAAGTTTATGTCGATGTTCACTTGAGAGATCGTCCAGCGGTTCAATACCTCCTAGAGTGCAACGTCAGCGTGGGTGTTGCGTCTCAACTTGACGGACCTTGCGAAGTCCGATCGAAAGGCAAATCACAAAGTGAATTCCCTCCAGTGGCAAGTATTCACTGGGGCTTAACCCTAACCTAATCAGACAGCTGCTGGGCAGCCAACAATCTAACTAGCGAATAGGATCGCACAGAGGATATCCAACCTAATCGAACACTTGGATACCATCTTGGGAGGGGTTCAGGGGTTCTGCGAATGGCAAATTCGCAACAATCTCCCCCAACGATTGCGTCACGCCCAACGCAGTTGCCATCGCCTTGACTTGAGCATCGACCTTGTTGGAGCGCACGTAGCGCTTGAACTCAGTTGGAATGTCTTCCAACAAATTGTCCGCCGGCTCCCACGAGGCTTCAATTTCTTGTAAACCGCGCCAGCGCACGCACACTTCAAACGCGGCCAATCGATCGTAGTAGCGGAAGTCGAGGAACTGGTCGACCACGTGACCTTCGGCGCTGTGCGCAATGCGGCGCAGCAGTTCTTCCGTCACATCCAATGGGTCGTCGGCGTAAAACTTGAGGCGATTGCTGTGGGCTTCACGGACCGACCACCCCAGTCACCAAATTTTGGATTTCAAAAATCCAATCAGATGTTGTCTTGACCACTTGACCTGGTCCACGCCATAGTGTGAAATCGACCGCACGTCACGTAAAGCAAAAAATCGCCCACGTCGAACTGGGCTATTTCCGCGTCTTTTTTCTTCGATCGTCTTTCACGATTTTTCTGACGCTTGCTTGTCGAAGCGTCCAACACCTTCGCATGCATCTTGTCCAAGGCGGTTGCCATCGCCGCCGTGCCATCGCTTCGCCATGACAGCAAGTCGTCCAACTTCGTAACTTTGGCCGCCGAAGGAATAGAAATGAGATCCAAGGGCGACATTGCTCGACTACCCGTCATGACAATAGTCGGTGCTACACCGCCGAGTGTGTCGGACGGACTTTGGTTGAGTACCAACATCACCACTGGGACAATCAGCCGCCACTGATCTAGCTGCATCGACCACTCGGACATGAGTGCACGGAACGCCTTGAGGGCCCGTGAGTGCCTGCATGGACCCGTTTTCGAATAGCCGAATCGCGCTATTCAACTTCAACCGCGACCACAATTCCATCACGAACGATGAGTGGGTCGCATGGTTCAAGTCGGCGTTTGAGGAAGTCCTTCAAGACCTGGACGTTTTGAAGCAACGTCTGCAACGAGCGATTCGTTTCGATACGAAGATCTTGGACGCATCAGGAGTGATACTCCATCAAGAAGGCAAGATGGTCGTCGAAGTCATGACGAAGTCGATCAAGCCCGAATTCGTGAAGACATAGGTTCAAAAGCATCTGTAGTTGCAACGGAACAAGGAGTTGAAGAGCGACGTCTTACGTTACGTCAAATGGCTGCGAACTTTTGCAGCTGGCCACCAGCTGTACGTTGGACTTGACGACGAGTCTAAACCATCCCTGGCAGCGAAGCCGGTATAAGCTCCACGAGGCGACAAGCCTCAAGCTCCAAGTCGTGAAGGCGGCCGGGATGACGACGCAAAGAACAATGGCAGAGTTGGTGGAAAGGCCGATGCGATCGTGCCCAAGACCGCCGAGCCACCTGCCAGGAAGGGCTGCTTGAAGTGCGGTGACATGAGTCACCGTGACGCTGGCGAAGCCGAAACGCCGTTGGTAGCGCAAGTCAAGCGCTGGAAGGAAGGCATCAAGGTGCTGGTCAACCAGCCGCAGCGACAGAAGACAGGGCGCGTGCTGTTGGAGAATATCGTCCGCGTGGACGATGTGCTCTTGGACTATGGTTCGGATGTGACCGTTGTCACGCGCGGCGTCATGGATGCGTTGGACGCAACCGGTGTCAAAGTTGGGACTGTCTCCCACAACGTACTGCATTTGGCGTACCCGGAAGGCAGTGATACCAAGCCAGTTGTGACGACGCGCAGCGTCAAGTTCAACTGCGTGACGCTGGACACGAGATGTGGACTGCTTGTGTTGCGCGGTCTGAAGGCCTGGGTCGACGACGCGTCGACTGCAACCCAACTCATCGTGAGTCACCCAGCCATGGAGTTACTGGTCTTCAGCGTTGAAGACCATCTTGTTGGAGCAAGGAAGAATGGGCCCCAAGAATTGTGCCGAAGAAGGAAGTCGGCGACTTGCGCATGACGATCGACAGCAGGCCGATCAACGCCTGCACGGAGCCGGTGCCTTGGCCGATGCCAAAGCTGGACAGCGCGATGGTCTGTCTGGTCGGAACGGGCGTATACTTCACGTTGGACTGGACCAAGGGGTACTGGCAGTTGCCGCTACCTGCGGACAGCCAGATGTACTTCTCGTTCATGACGCCCTTCGGCGTGTACACCCCGACCCGCGTGCTCAAGGGACAGACGGACGCTGTCCCGTACTGCCAGTCGGTTGTCCACCAAATGTTTGATGAACTGCTGTTTCGAGGCCTGTAGGCCTGGCTCGACGACTTGCTGGGGTCCGCCAAGACGAGCGGACGAGCTGCTCAACATGTTGGACCAAGTCCTGTCCATCTGTGCCCAGTTCGGACTCAAGTTGAGCCCGAAGAAGTGTCATATCTTTCTGCGCGAGGCAGAGTGGTGTGGCAACGTGATTTCAGCCCATGGAATCACACATTCCCCTAGCCGAATTCAAGGATTCGTGGATTTGTCGCCGCCGACGACAGTGGCCGACCTCCAGCAGTTTGTGTGTGTAACCAACTGGATGCATGCGAGCATCCGGTCTGGTTACAACCAGCCGGTGGACCCGCTGCGAGGTCTGCTAGACGTAGCCACCAAGGCAGTCGGAAGCTGCAAGAAAACTGCGTTAGTGCGTGTTGCACTTCCTGTCGTGGGATGTTCGACCGACCAACTGAAGTGTTTCAAATATGTGAAACACGCGTTGGCGCATGTGGTGCCCTTCTTGCACCCGCGAGAAGACATGACGGTCTGCGTCTTCACGGACGCCAGTGACCTGTTTTGGGGTGCGGTTGCCGCACAAGTACCGCCAGAGGACCTGGACTTGCCTCTCGAAGACCTGCGGCACCAGCCGCTTGCGTTCATTAGTGGGTCGTTTTCTGGCGCGAGTGCGCATTGGCCCATTGTCGAGAAGGAGGCCTATGCCGTGGTGGAGTCGTGCAAGAGGCTTGACTACCAGGTCGTACGTACGCCCGAGTGGTTTCCGTCTGTTTACGGATCACTGCAACATGGTGTACATTTTCAACCCAAGTGGCTCGAACGCCAACATGGCACCTGCAGGGATGGTCGCTGGTGATGTCGACCTTCCCGTACACCATTGAGTGCGTCTCGGGTGACGAGAATGTATGGGGCGACCTCCTGAGCCGTTGGGGTTCGGCTCCGACGAATCAACCAGTTTCGAATATTCGCAAGTTGATCCATGTAGCGTTGCCTCTGCAACAAGTTGATTTCGAGTGGCCAACAGCCGCTACGATCAGCGGCATCCAACGTTCTACCATGGAAGGGGGAGGGACCCGCCATACGTGGATTGGACGACAACTCCCATTTTTACGTGGAAGACGGACGAATTTGGATCCCAGACGGTGCTGTTGACATACCGCAGCGGATGTGTGTGATCACTCACCAAGGAGTCAGCGGTCACCGTAGCATCGCAGCGACGACCAAGTTGGTGTCCGACAAATTTGTGTGGGAGTCGCTCTCCACGGATATCGAAGCGTTCGTGCGGACCTGTTTGCACTGCCTGTATATATATATATATATATATATTGACGGAGAAAGCATTCCCCGTCCATTGGGTTCGATCAAGCTTACAGCACGTCGGTCAGAACCAGGTGAGCTCCATCGATGCTGACAAGTTGGACCATGCCCATCTGTGTGATGTGCATCCGATGTCCTTCAGCCACAACGACTGATCGCTCACATGCGACGCGGACATATAGAATGTCGGAGGTTCCCTGTGATGTGGCACGATGCGCCAGAATCCACAACCATGAGGCGAGTCGACACCGGTAGCGACGATTGACGAGAAGAAAATTCGCCGATGGCAACTTAGATCCGATAGAGAAGAGGTAGTCCTCGTCATAGACTGGCTCTGATCTCACGGCATTCGCATGGGCGGATGGGACGGCATGCCGGGGCTCACGTTCTCCACGCCCCCGCCTGCTAACTTGAGTACCACGGTCTGGTCTGCGACAGTCACGACCCCAGTGTCCAATCGTCCCACAATTGCGGCACTTGTCGTGGCCTCGAGAACGTTGCCCCTCGTCCCCGTTTTTGATGGGTGGCCTTCGATCGCGATGAACGACAAGTACAGCGTCGTTCATGTTTCGTCCTCGGACCTTGAGAATACCTTCCTTTTGAAGATACTCGTACTCGGTGATCAACTTGGTCGCGGCTATCGGTACAGTGTGGAACTCCGCATTCGAGTCCACGATCATGTAGATCGAATTCCAGTGTCATCTGTTCAACTACTACGAACACTGTGCTCTGTACATTTGTACTTCATCAAATTATGGACCGAAACGGTACACTAGCTTGTGCTATTTCTTACTACTTACAGTTGGTTACCTACACTATCATCCGCAAAGGTACCGACCGTTGTGTCCGAGTCAGTAGGTATCATGATCGTGTTGATTTTACATGCAAAACTACTGAATGTCCCACAACAACACATACAAATCTAGAGCGAAATGACGCTGCTAACCGGTTGCTTTTTGGTCTTTTGAAACGGATTGGGCGCATTGGACAGTTCCAAGTCTCCAGTCATACTCAGCCGCTTGTTGGCTTGAGCGATCGAGTCGAACACTGTCGCCTTGGTGAGGTTCTTTCCACTGCTATTCGCCTTGGTTTCTTTGGATTTTGGCCTCTTCTTGAGCGCAACCTTGTCCTCGTCCACGTTCTTCTTGTTCTTCTTCGTCCCAGCTGCTGCTGCTACTGGCTTCACCAGCGCTTCCTGATCCGAATCATCATCCGAGTCGGCCGGCATTTGAGCCGCCAGTCGCGCGAGGGCCGATTCCGTCGTCGGGGCGGCTTTGGCAAACGGGGGCGGCGGCGGCGTCGACGCCACCACCTTGCGCGCCACCGGCGGCTTGCGCGATTTCTCCGTGTCCTTTTTGGTTGGGGTCTTGGGGCTCTTGTCCGAGGTATTAGACCCCGTGGCTTTCTTGGTCGCTTTCGCCTTCTTGACAAGGGGAATATCGTCATCATCCGAGTCGTCATCGCCGTCCAACACGACAGTCGCCTTGCTGGCCACAGACTTGGCTAAGCGTGCGCGGGCAGCTTCTTCCTTTTGCTCGGGGGTAAAGGCAGGTCGGCCTCGCTTTTTGGGGAGAGCTGACGCCGCCTCGTCAGATGTAGCTGGGACCTCCTTCTTTGCCTTGGCAGCATCAGCTCGTGCTTTCGTGCCCTTCTTAGCCGCCGCCACTGTCGTCGTGGAGTGTTCAGCGGATTCATGTTCGAAGTTGGCCGCCTGGTTCTTCTTCGCTGGCGGGGTTTGGTTGGGCACGACAAGCGGAGAATCGATGTCTTGTCCAGATGATGACGATGGACTCGTGGTTGTTACTGGTTCTTCTTGGTTGGAAGTAGCAATGACGTCCACGATAGTGTCAGCTGTTGGCGCGGCCTTGGCTTTGGACTTCTTGGCTTCCGGGGCAACTTTGGCCCCATTCGCAGCGCTAGGCGTCGTAGGTGCAGCCTTCGTAGGTGCAGCCTTCGTAGGTGTAGCCTTCGTAGGTGCAGCCGTCGTAGGTGGTTCAACAGCCGCCTGACCGGTAGCTGCTTTGTCCGCCTTTTTTTTCGCTGGCGACACTTTCTTCGCCTTGGGTGTCGTTTTAGCAACTACTGTTGCAGGGGTGGTGGTGGTGTCCACAGCAGGCACATCCACAGCAGGCACATCCACGGGAACGACCTTGTCCGCAGCAGCTTTGGCGGCTGCTTGTTTCTTTGTAAGCTTACTGCCAGCAGCAGTGGCAGTGGCGGCGGCGGGTTGGTCGGCAGCGCCATCCGCCCCGGTAGCCTTGGTCTTGGCGTCCTTCCCTGCCGCGTTCGCCTTCTTCGCGACCGGCTCTTGAGGCACCGAGTCAGCGACAACGTCGGCTGTGGGCTTCTTAGCTAGGCCAGCTTTGGCTGCAGGTTCAATAACCTTTTCGACGTCAGTCGTTGGAGCCAATGCAGCGGCGGAAGCAGCGGAAGATTTGTTCTTCTTCTTCTTCTTGCTCTTGGTCGATGGCTGCTCCGTAGTGGACGTCGTGGTCGTGGTAGGAGCGACCGCCTTGTTGGCGGGGTTGGTCGTGGCGGGGTTGGTCGTGGTTGCCGCTTGCTTCTTCGAAACAGCTTCCAACGGCTTGTTTATGGTGGCCGTCTTGTCGGGAGCCGCCGCCTTGGCCTTCTTCGTTTCCACGGTGGCATCATCGTGTGACGGATGCGGCTGCTTTCGCTTGGGTTGGTTGTTGTCGCCAGGAGTTACAGGCACAGCTGCCTGCTTGCGTGCGTCCGCGGTCGTGTACACGTGTTCGGCATGCACATGCACCAGATCCAGCTCGCTCAACACATGCTGCACCTTGGCGTAGCCCGGAAGCACAAAGTAAGACGCTTCCCCTACGTCGTTGAGGAACTTCTTCTGAAGGCCTGGCGCGGACACGAGCGAGACCCCGACGACCTTGGACTCTCGTGAGATCTGCTTGGCCAATGCTTCCACGGTCATGTCCGCTGGACGCTCCGTGATTGTGAGGAACTGCTGCCCTTCGGGACAACGTACAAGCAGCTTCAGCACCATCTTATCCTCGGCTTCAATGCAATGCTATCAACCGCTCAAACCGAGAAATTCAAAAATCGCCTCCATTCAAATTTCGTGGGAACCTCTCACAATTAATATATGCATTCGGTTACCACCACCAACAGCAAAAGCAACTTGATTCGTCTGGGGCAGCACGATTTTCGGTGGGATTACAGTTTGCACCGTATATACTTGAGTATTAAATTCAACTTGACCAACAAGTACAGGATAGCGCTGCTCATCACACAATCGATGGCTTATATAGACCGCTGAGTACTCTTTTCTACCCAAACAGTACTCCGGAATACTAGTAGTAGTATTAATCAGGGTACAATACTAATACTTCTACACATTTCCGTAAAAATCGGCTTCGTTTTTATATCGACGATGGTAAATATACTACTACCGAAATTAGGGCGTTGATGTTCTGGATGCCTACCTGGTAGTAAGCTAACATAACATTACAGTACATACCTTAAATCCCGTCGACATATTTTCGAGTACACTGTATCTAAATAAAGTTTGTACTATTAGAGTGATTTTGCACCAAGAATCCACACGAATTATCCAATACAATTTCCCTGAAAATCCTTCGGGGAATATCATGTTGGGAAGGTGCTCTTGCTATAGGAAAAATTCAAATTCAAGCAGAACTGCCGCTGTGTGCGTTGTTGCGGCTCTTCTGGATCACCTACCGGTAGGGTACGGCTCCCAATCTTTAGGCATATCAACGACCCAGTGCATTAGGTGCAATGTGTACAGTTTGTGACCTTGCACCATCCCTATATGCTGTAGTGTGCATCGCGCCGACGTTCAAACATCACCGCTTTGAGGTGGTCGATGAACACTGGGGGATAGGATGTATCTGTTGACTGGTTTACGTTCGGCACTATACCACTGCTCGCCTACGATATCCTCGCTCATCTACTAGTGCGTCCTACCTACCGCTCATCTACGTTTGGTGCCGACCATGCCATTCATCCATGAAGCGAAATTGGTAATTTACATGTTCAAGCGTTTTGATTGGCAGATCAAAAGACTTCATCGTGAAACTTTTCAGGAAATATCACGTAGCAAAATCACTCTGTTAGAGTGATTTTGCTACGTGATATTTCCTGATTAATAGTAACGTTAACTGTAAGGTAACGCATCGAAATCGGGAACAGCAATAAAATAAACATAAATTGTGCAAATTTATATTCCTCAATACAAAAATCAAGATATACGCGCGCTGTTCGCGATTTAGAAAATCACAACCGTCATTCCGACTTTTATGACTGATCGCAATAATCCATTACAAACAACACATTCAGTTGTTTTACCAGTATGATCTAATAGGAACTATAAAATAGTGCACGAATTATATTTTCCTACCATACCTTGAGATTTGCGCAATTCCACAGATTTCCAGAGATATGATGCGTCAAAAATTAGACTTTACACGACGCAAAAAGTGTTCGCGATTTCGATGCGTTACTGTACCTTACTCGGACTCTACCTGTAAGTAAGTTTACTACACGGTGTAGCATTGGGTACATTACAACACTAAATATCAGATATTAATTCGGTTACGTCAGTTATATTGACGGAACCACTCACTTTACAAATGTTATTACAAAGTGTAGGCGGTTGTTGGAGGACGGTTGGGGTTTGTGAAAAACCTCTGACATCGTATATTCTTCACCACGTTCGTTGAACCGATTTATGCGTTTCGTAAGATAACATGTACACGTCCGTGACGGCGGTCGTCGCGAGGTGCAAGACGCTGTCCGTGTCCTCCGTCGAAGACGCCAAGCACAACGTAACCACATCCATCAACCTCGCCATCCCTTGTTCTTCATGCATCTCACCGAGCTGCATGCATGTAGATGGTTGTCGTGTGCATTGCGTTGCTGCATGCCGTCAACTCAATCCTTGAACGCCTCCACCTCGATGCATCGCTTCACATTGTCCTCCAAGCCGAGCAACACCTAAGAAACCTGCTACAGGCCGAGCGCTACCTCACGTCATCACCGTCATCCGCGGGGGACGAAGCCACCATCACGTCCATCCTCTTGTCAGGTACAGTCATTCCTCCTGCACACGCTGCCGTGTGACATGCTAGCATTTCGCACAGCTTGGGCATGGTTGCACGACCTCGCCATGTCCGTTTTCGACCACGTGTACGCGCACATGGCGTACGTACCCGGCGTATCGCGGCTCGTCCGATGGATCCAGTGCCACTTGACGGCGGCGCCATCCCCCACGCAAGACCGCACTGCCGTCGACACATTGACAGCCATAGTTCTGTCGTACACAGAGAAGGACGTTCCCGTCTCGTCTTCCCTCAACCATCGCATCCAGCGCTCCATGCACTACCCCATCAACCTCAAGCCGTTCGACGCAACCGTCCAGCTCCAAACATCATCTTCCTTCGCACCCCCCTCGTCTTCTTCGACGCTCAAATCGCCGCAGTCCATGCCCGCGTCCCCCACCGCGCGGCTCCACTGGCAGTCATCTCTCGCGTCGTTGTCCCAAAATGTGCTTTACCAAGTCCGTGATCAACTACGCGCCGAGCGCGCCGCGGCTCTGACTGGCACCGCCGACAACATTTGCATCGTCAAGTTCAATCGCCACGACTGCCACGCCGAACTCCAGCTCAGCTGCGGCGCCCACGCTGTGACCAAGGTAAATACACAGAATTCTCACTGTGAACATGACATTGCAGGTCCTTCCCGGCTTGTACCGCACAGTGCGGGCGACGGCGGGAATTCCCATCAATAAGGCCGTGTACTTTGAAATGACAGTACATGATCGCGCCGTGAGCTGCTGCATCGGACTCTCCCCGCGCTCCCTCCCCTGCAACGCCCTTGTTGGCACCCAAAAACACACTGTACGACTTTATATATGTATGTGGAATGTCATATTGTTGATGTAGTGTACCTAATTTGTCAAGTGTATTATTGTGCTTTTCAGTCAAATGTTGCCTATTTTGGGGGATTTTTGATGAAAACTAATCGAGAAAACGAGTATGATTGGCTACAAAGAATGAAGGTTGCAATTTGATTGGCTAAAGAGATTGATTTTAGTATTGCAGTCACAAAGATACCTCTTCAACTTAGTTTTATATGAAATTTCGAAGGTAGAATGACCTGGTTCTCCTATCAGTGGACTATACTGTATACTTTTGGACTGTATTTTTATATGTAAAGATGTATTGAAGCCATGCACGCTATTTGAAGGTATACACGAATTCGATAAATCCTGGAGTTTGATTGGCCACTTGGTTGTTGTTGATTGGTCATTTTGCCTATCAAATAAATCTATTCCTATCTATATATATGTATATACACATCCTGGTCCTTTCCTAGTATCACATATATATATATATATATACTATTTTGCATATCATATAAATGTTTATATTTCACTTCACGCCCTCATATTACATTCCGAAATCATCCACTAATATATATATATATATATATTATTAATACTACAGGATACTATCCTATTGTCTACCAAATAAATACGTTTATATATATATCCCAGAACGAAATCATATATATATATATATATTGCTCAAAGGTCAGTCGGTCGAGTGTGTGTCGATTACATGTTGTGCTGCTGCTGTTCTTTACAATCTTGATCCGTCGATCCAACTGTTTCTGACTGAATCGATAGACAGTTCACACTAATGAACACTTGAAATATAGATTGGTGTGTACTCGAAATCGGGGATGATTTTGGCCCATTCGATCCAGATTCCAGTTGCAGGCCTTGCGAGCCACAGTTCCTCTGGTGCGTCGACGTACGGCGTGCTGGTTCATCGGGGCCGGTCCTTGGACATAGCTACCTTTGACTGCGTCCAAGTGGTTTTTACGCACTTCGACGCGTTTCACGATATGGTCGTGTCGGAGCAATGCGAGCTCCGCGTGCCGTCGTCGTTGGAGTTGTTTCCCACTGTTACATTGGACTCGATGCATCACACTATTTTAAGTCGGTTTGCCCCCACGGATCTGGTCGTGTCTGTCGACCAGTGGGCGTTGCTGGCGTGGCAGTACCCCGCCATTTACACGCTGGACGGGACGTTGTGCAGTGCATACAAAGACAACTAAACAAAATAAACACAGAATTTAAATTTTATTACGGTAAAATGTCGTTGGTCATGTGCTGGAATTGGTCGTATCTAGTCACAATGAGTTAGCCACGATATATATATATATATTGATTGGGAGACAAAGATATGTATACATACTTTCGGTAGCCAAAGCTGTTGAGGCTCCATCGCACCAACTTCATCACGTGCGGAATCACTTGGTCCGTGGTCAGTTCGAGGGCAAAGAGGGCTTTGGTCTGGTTCAAAATGTCTTGGGGATTGCGATTGAGAAAGCACGGACAGCTCGAGTGCCGAGCCATGATGGCTATCATCATCAAGATCGTGTCGACGTTTTGGGTTTGCTACAACCATCATTTATCATTTAAATGTCTTGATATAGATGACAACAACCATCCTTTATTATTTAAATGTGTTCATATAGATGAAAATAACAATCGTTTCTATGTATTATATAGATGACAACAACCATCATTTATCATTTAAATGTCTTGATATAGATGAAAACAACCATCATTTATCATTTAAATGTGTTCATATAGATGAAAATAACCATCATTTAAATGTGTTCATCTAGATGAAAATAACAATCATTTATATGTCTATATATAGATGAAACAACCATCATTTCAATATATCTTGATAATCATACCCGCAACGCCAAAAACCCTTGAATCAACAGCGTGACAAACTCGCGAAAGTACTCGCTTTGGGTCCCGCCCATGGCGTCGACCATTTCGGTCGTGAGTTTAAACGGCACGCGCTGCTCCAGACTGAACCGACCTCCCGGTTGAATGCCCAGCATGAACCCATAGTCAATATGGATCAAGTGGCCGTCCGCGTCCAGCATGATGTTGCCGTTGTGCCGATCTTTGATGCGGAGGATGTAGCACACCAGAGAATACGCGGCCATGCTGCGCACAAAGTTGCCCATCGCCGTCTTGTACGCTGGCGTGTCCAACCCTCCATATACCTGACAACAATCAATTATTCAATCGTCAGTTAGGTCATACAAAATCTAGCTTTTGATAGACGAAAATGGAGCCAAAGTACGGGGCAGCAGCAGGTCAACCAATCCACAACAAACAGTACGGTGTATGACGCCAATTAGTGAGAAAACATCACTCCATCGGTGGGTGGTGATTGTTGTACATACAACTGGCAGCACCAACAAATATATCCATGTATTTGCATCGAATGTACACCATCCATCCATTATATTGCACTCCAACCACTCGTTGTTTAGGTCAGTACTCGTCCAAATATATATATATAATCAACTCGCGTCGAAATTGGGGTGCTCAATCGAATGCAAAACCAAATCGGCAGACACTCGATATATCGACCAATCAAAACCCACATCACCAATCAAGTAGCCAATCAAATCCATTCTTCGACCAAATCAACATCGAATTAGTGTGTGATTGAAATTCGTGTGATACTCGACGACCTTTACATGCAAAAGTTAGTCCAACAAATCAATGGATAAATCAGCACAAATATCCAAATATTGAGTAAAAGGACAATCAATATATATATATAGCATACCGTGATGAAATGCTGGTTCAAGTTGGTGTATCCAGGTGATCCCTTGAGACTCGAGAGGGATGTCGCGTTGAGAATCACTTCGATAATGCCGGTAGAGGCGGATGTGGCAATGATTCCGTACGGGTACAGCCACAGATCGAGCTCGGCGCTGTTAAAAATGTCTCGAAACTGGCGAATCAGCTGCAAACAGAGCACTTCCTGGCGCAAATCGTCGTTGCTTTTGATGATCATGGCCTTGATATCCCACTTGGCTTTGTACGTAGATGCGTGGGTGCTGCTTTCACGCATACGCTTGCGCTTATCGTCGGCGCCCTCGCCAAACATATTTTTCACCTGGTTGTGCCGCTGCACTTGCTTTTCTCGAACATAGTTGCAGATCACATCGAGCTGATCCTGCAGCAGCTGCCACGTCACGATCGCGCGATCTCGTTCGTCGGGGGGCATCACATACGCTTCTATCGCGTGTTGTAGTGTCTGCATATACAGCATCACCTTGTCCGGGTCCATGCGATCCATGTGACTCATCGGCGGCAACATCAGCGACTCGTCGTGCGTGTCGTCGCCTCGGGTCCCCATCTGCGACGACGTGTACCGCGTCGGTCGCGTTGACTGACGGCCCACAATCGTACTACGCCCGGTAAAGTCATTCACAACATGGAGACTAGTGTCTTGGTCGGGTTTCAGTGTCACAACAAACAGTGTCGCATGGTCGTTTTGAAACACAATGTCGTCGTAATAATCGCGTCCACCGCCGATATTGAGCCCACTCGACTGGGGCGGCACTGGTTGAATCAGGTGGTTATGCAGCAATTCGGACCCGAGCCACGTCGCATGCTGTTCATTGTGCGCGACTTGCATCTCCAGCAAGGTCGCGATACCGTCGCTGCCGGTAAACGCATGCCGCACATCCCAGTTGTCGTCGTCGTGTAAAAAGTTCTTCTTCATCTTCTCCATGCTTTCCTTGATCGCTTCGACCGTGAGCCGCCCCAATGCCGGGTGTTTGCTTTCCAAAACAGTCGAAGTGGTGGGGGTCGATGCACGACGAACGGGGGTATGATGTGATGTTACATGCTGGTCCAGCGCGCGTCGCGGCGGCGGGTGCGCGACCAAGTGTTGGAGCAACTTGTCTGCAATCGTTTCCAGTTGCTCCGTCGACAGCTTCTCCACGTCCGTGGGGAGCAACTCGAGCTTGATGCTGCCCTTGGATCGCGGAAACAGACTCGAGCCAAGCATGGGCGGACCGCCGCCGCCGCCGCCGCCGCCGCCGCCATGGTGATGATTCGTGTGGTGGGGATTGGTCAGCGTTGAGAGGTCCATGGGGGCTCTCGTCGCGTCTGCTTCGGCTGCGTGAATCAGCTCGTCTGAGTACGTCTGATTGGCATGGCTCACGAGGCTACCCGATCGTCGCAACTTGGCCGTTGATCCTACACACAATTGAGTACTGATTTATTTATATATATATATATATATTGTTGAGTGTTAAAACTGCAGCGATTAAACTGGAGGAGGAATCGACGACACAATCAAATCAAAAACATGCACATTGTCGATTTGATACAAATTTGGGGAGGGGGTGCAATCGAATCGCGCCAACCAAACCGATCCGCAATCGATCTGATTGGTTGAATTTCATTGGAAATGGGTTTTGATTGGTTAATAATTTTGAGCTCATCTGAAGTAGCCAATCAAATCGATTTCAATTCCAACGAGAAACCATGCCACAACACGAAATTTCACTCGAAAGTACAATACAAAAGAAAACGTCTTGTGACTTCGCTATAAACTTCCACAATTGTTTGTCGAATCAATATTGAATCACGCTCTCAAGTTCTGATTGGTTGAATTAAGTTGTCCTTTCTGTCAGAGCCAATCAAATATATCCACGCGAAATTGGATTAGCCAATAGCGTTGTCGATTCGTGATTCGACGGGGTCTGGAAATATGTACCGAATATACAACATATAGCCAACCAATATCAATCACAGTTGGAAAATATGTGTGTGACTTGTAGGCCACACAATCCTCGATCATAGAATTGGCAAATACTCTCTCAATAAACACACAAGATCATGTACTACTACCGTTTGAAAGCGGCACTTTGATGGACACTTGCACCACATCGTCAGTATCGTCGTCGTCGTCGCCGTTGTTGTGGATATGGCGAAGTGACGTGAGCAGCCGCTCGTCGCGCAGGACGTTGTCGATGGCGTCGTGGTCCATAGACTGCCGATGCGGCGGCGCGTCGTCGCAGACAAGGGGCGCGGACGGCCTCGTCTGGCTCAGCCACAGTGTCTCAGGCGCCACATCCACTGATTCGACCTCAAACCAGACCAGCGTCGGCGCCCGTGCTTTGGTCGTAAACACCGTTCCTAGATAAATATAAACCAACATATCGCAATCTTCAGCTTTTTATTCCACATATTGGACACGGTGGATTGTACTATCACAAACTCCATCCAATAGAATATCCAGAAATTATGACAATGGATCAAACATTTTGGCCAATTAGCGACAAGACATGGCATCAAATCAACCAATGGGGTTCGATCAAAATATTGTTTTAAATTATCATTCCAAACAAGATTATCCCTTGAAACAATATTATCCCTTGAAATATATATATCTATACTTGTAACCCTTCTGTGATACACACGTGCACATACTACGTCGACTAGAATATCCAGAAAGTTTGATGGCAATCGATAACATGTTGTAGCCGATTCGAGACAAGACATGTCATCATATCAATCCTTGGGGTTCGATCAATATATTTACTTTGAATGATCATTCCAAACAGTCAAATCTCTTGAAATATATATTATCGATATAATCTATACACCTTTTTTAATGCACACATGCATCGAGCCAAACTACATCGACTAGAATCTCCAGAAACCACAATGAATATATATAAAGCGTTGTAGCCAATCCGAGTCCAGAAATGTCAACTGATCGACCAATGGGGGTTGGATCAATCAATATATAGTATAAAGCACCATTCCAAACCATCAAATCCGTTGAAATATATATATATATATATATATATATATATACCTTCTTTGATACACACGTGCACAAAGCGATGGAGGGGTTCGTCCACGGGCGTCAACGGATAGTACGCGGCCGTGGGCAGCGGAATCTTTTCCAGCTCCGTGGGCAGCGCTTTCTTCCGTTCGGAGCGAGGACAGTGTCGCAGATTCTCGGCCAAGTCGCCCAACTGGTCGATGAATTCGACTTGGGCTAAAAATACTTTTTGCTCCACCGATGCATCTCGGGGCCCGAGGCGGGGGCGATAGGGGAGGTCCGTCCAGTGAATGGGAAATGTACACGCAGCAAATGCATTGAAAAATGGACCTAGGGGCACGGGGCCCCCTCTTGTGGAGCTCATGGGCGACGGCAGCGCCAAGTCTGGCGTCGGCAGATTCAATCCTATTCAATTATATATAAATATACATATATTTAGTTGGGAAGCACGTTTGTTACCAGAGTCGTACTCTTGCAAATGCAAGATGCGATCAATGTACACTTGGAGAAGTTCGGCTTGTAGGGGCATCGTGCGCAGGTCCGCATCCGGTGTAAACGTCAGCGTCGTTCGATTTTCAATCTACACAACATACAATATCGATTTAATCTAAAATAAAATAAATTTACATGCAATCAATATGAAAAAACAGAAATATCTTACATGCGACTGACCATTCATATACCCCATAAAAAAGAAAAGCACACACATTTGAAATCTTATTGTCAATTCGATTCGAAATTAGAGTGGCAATCGAATGAGCAGAATCACCAAATCGGCCGAGAATCGAAATACGACCAATCAAAACCCAGAGCACTAATCAAGTAACCAATCAATTTCACTCGTCGACGAAATCAACACCGAATTAGTGTGTGACTGAAATTAGTGTGATACTCGACGATCTTTACATACAAAAGTCAGAACAACAAATCAATCGATAGAGTCGGCAATAAATCAGCACAAATTTCCAAATGTTGGGCGAAAGGACAATACCAGTCAGTACATACATAAATAATAATGATCGTACCAGCATGTGCAAATTGTACATGGCAACCTTACACGGCGCAAATCGAAACTTGAGGTACTCTGGGACTCCGAGCTCCCGTTGGCCAAACCCCCATCCGCAGCTGTCGTCGATCGTAGCTCTTAGCAGCCAATGGATGGACGTCGCAAGACGGAGATGGTACGTGGCGGCGGTCATAAGCACACGAAAGAGCAGCATCCACTTGACCAGCTGGGTTTCGTACTCCATGGAGATCCACAGGTGGAACAGTTGCGGCAGGAAAAAGTCAAAATCCGGCAGGTGCTGCACGCCCAGCTTGAGTAGCTTGGCCACAATCACACAGTACACGTCGTCGCTGTCCTTGCGGTGCAAATGCAGCGCTTGGATCGCATCCGACACGCCAAAATCGGCTTCGGACACCGCCGCCCGCATCCGGTTGACGTCTTCAATGTGGTCGTCGGTCTGGGAGATGCCGCAAGAAGACGCTGAAACTGGCAGCGCCTTCTTCTTGTTGCTTAGCAGCGCCGCGTGCTGCAGCTGCTGTTGCTGCTGTTTGCGGCCGTGGCGGTGCTTTACAAACACTTGGAGCATCGTACGCATGTGCTGCATGAACCGATGGACGCGAAAACAGCGCGTGCATTGCCGCTGCGGACCTATATATGCGCCAACATGAGGGGGGCTAAAAATGGAAGTCTTATACGGCAAAAACTCTAGTATTATTCATGGGTAACGTGAATGAATATGTTGGTTTACTACTACGTCGTAGTTAGTAGTCGTACGAGGTATTGTGATTTGTTCTACTCAAAATTTCCTCCGGCGGACAATCGCCGGACCTTCGAAATTTCATATAAAGTAGAAGAGGTATCTTTGAGACTGCAATGAAGTATCAATCAATATTTTTAGCCAATCATATTGCCACCATCATTCTTTATAGCCAATCATACTCCTTTGCTCGAGTAGGTGGCGATTTCATCAATCCCCCAAAACAGGATAAATTTGACTGTGAATAGCACAATATCATGATATATACAAACGTCAACACGTTTACGAGTTTCATGGTGAAGAGTGTTACTATTGTATTTGCTGTTCATAAGTTATGGGGGATTGATGAACAATTCGCCAACCAATCGAGCAAAGACGTATGATTGGCTAAAAATAGAATAAACATTGCAATACGATTGGCGATAACGATAGAAAATGTTGGCTTCCTCTTTAAATTAGTTGTGTATTCGATTTCGCAGGTCCGGGAATTATACCACCCAAGAAATACAAAACACCCACATATGTTCACATGCGAAAACCGCCAGAAAACACACATGGAAACATACGATCGAAACGAGAAAGGACAGGATGTACCGTTCATGGTAGGAAGGTGCGGCAACGGCGCAAAATGGTAGCTATGGTCCGAGCAGACCGAGTCGCCGCAATTGCGGCAATGATGCTGGCGCTTGGTGTTGTCGAAGCGGACCTTGCATGTGGGATGCATGCAATTCGGGATGCCTTTGAATTTGGGCGGCTTTTCCTTCTCCTTGTTCGGGCGGGCAAGGGTGAGACCGCCTGGTGACGCAGCCGTGAGCACGGACGACTTGGGCAGCAACGAGCAGTCGCGCATCTGCATCGCAGCGGCGTCGATGGACTCGTTCGCGTACTGGATCCACAGCCCTTTTTCTTCTTCGCTGTCTGCGTTCACGTTGTACGTGCCTTGGGGCGTCACGAGCTTGAACGCTTGGGAATACCGATGGATCGCGCCTTTCCCGTCCCAATTCTCGACCTTGACGATCTCTTTCTCCATGTGCGCGTTCGCCAGGTCCCGCGCCGATTCCTTGGTGTAAAAGCGATAGAAGAGCACACCCACGAGACGGCAGTAGTATCGTTTCATGCGATGGAACCCCGGACCGTGTTCCCGCATGTTGAGGAATCCCGCGAGGCCGAGGTGCGTCAGTTCCGCCGTTCCATGCAACAACGTGCTCTCCCCAAAGTCGATGGACACTTCCGAGAGGTCTCCACGGAGTCCACCTCCTTCCGACGATGGAGCGTGCGATCCACTCCCCGACAACACATCGATTTGGAGCGTTTCAATTGCGGCCGCAAGTGAAGGGGCGGAATTGCGCATCGGATGATGGGGAAGTTCTTGCGTGATGGGAGAGATCGGCAAGTCTGTGACAGAGTTAGGGCGAGCTTTGGTTGTCGTCGTCGGCGCCGCCACCAAGGAGTCCGTGCATCCATGTACCATCGCTCGCTCCTCCATGATGATCACCCCAAAGTCAGGTCACTTCAGGAACACCTCCCAAATTTGATACTGTAACGCTCGTTCTGCTGTAAAAACGAAATCGATACAATCCGCCTATTGTATCCACCGCCACGTCATCGCTTGATGTTAACAGTATAAACGTAATCCGGAGTACCTTCCAGCGTTTAACCATGGCGTATGAGCAAGTGCAAGGAGGAAAATACAGCTGTAGTAGCGTACTGGTACAGTACAGTACTGTCTTTGTGGAGCATTACATATCCAAGTCCTCTTGGTTTTTTCTTGGGTGTAGGGTGCGATGGTAACGTGATGCTAACAGGTAATATTAAGTCTAACGGTTTAACCCCATCTGAGGCAAGATTACGCTTGAAGGTCACTAAAAAGATTGCATAGTGCCATGTCCCTATTTCTGGAGGATTATCCGGTCATTTTCCGGAAACTCAACAGCACCACCGCATGTACAAGATTTTGTCAACGTTAATCAATGGAGAAGGTGAATGTGCAGCTTGGAGCTGCCCATCAAGGCTCCGAGGCAACGCTGAGTCGCGCAGAGGACTTCAAGGAGAAGGGAAACGATGCATTAAAGGCGTTTAAGTTCCCTTTGGCCGTCGAGATGTACACGACGGCGATCTCGCTCATCCCAACGGCCATCTACTACTCGAACCGTGCTGCCGCCCACATCAAAATGGAGAGCTACGGTCTAGCGCTTGAAGATGCGTCCGAATCCATCAAGATCGATCCTTCCTACATCAAAGCGTACTACCGTCGCGCATCGGCGAACCTCCCTCTCGGTCATTTGAAGGATGCATTGCGGGACTACCGCACGGTCGTCAAGATGAAGCCGACAAGTGCTGAGGCCAAGAGCAAGATGAAGCTGTGCGAACAGTTGATCCGCCAGGCTGCGTTTGCCGAAGCCATTCAGTCCGAACGCCATCGTCCCTTGAGCGAAACCATCGACGTGTCTGCCATGGGTTCGTCATCTTCTTCTCTCCCGCGTCTCATGCTCGATCTTCCATGTCCTCGTAGTCGTGGACTCGTCATACGATGGCCCGCACCTTCCGGAGACCCCCCCATCGACCGAGTTCATCACGGACGTGTTGGATCACTTCAAGCGCGGGAAGCTTTTGCATCGAAAGTACGTGCTGCAGATCCTCCTCTCGATGAAGTCGATGCTGCAAGCGTTACCGAGTCTTCTCCGCATCCCGTTGGGCTCGGACGCCCAAGCGCACATCACCGTCTGCGGCGACACCCACGGTAACAACGCTACCATCCATCACCATCTCGTCACGTTGTTCCAGGCCAATTCTACGACGTGTGCAATATCTTTGCCCTGAACGGCCTTCCCAGCGAAACCAACCCGTACCTGTTCAACGGCGACTTTGTCGACCGCGGGTCGTTCAGCTTGGAAGTGGTGCTCACACTATTTGTGATGAAATTGGCGTTCCCTGGCCACGTGCACCTTCTGCGCGGCAACCACGAGTCCAAAAACATGAATAAGATCTATGGCTTTGAAGGCGAAGTCAAGCACAAGTACGACGACGTTGTCATGAACTTGTTCAGCGAAGTGTTCAACTGGCTGCCCCTCGCCGCATGCATCGAGTCCAAAGTACTCGTCGTACATGGCGGCCTCTTCCACCAAGATAACGTCACGCTTGCAGACATTGAAAAGATCGACCGCAACCGAGAACCCCCCGAGAGTGGTACAGTTTGTTGATTTATATGCGAAGTTTGGGGGAATGTTGGAGTATTTTTGCTCATGGTTTTCCAAATTTGACAAATGACTTCAATCGCTGGACGTGCGACACATATCATGTATTGAATATGAAGTTTCAGAGGTACTCTTTATGCATATGGTGCATGTGGTAACATTTCAAAAATAATATTCCATTTTCGGGCAAAATGGGATAAATGAAAAATGCTATTTTCAAAATGGAGGTAAAATGCCCATTTTTTATTAAGGCGTTTTGAACCCCTTCAACGAGTAAATCCCACTCGGAATTATTGATTTTGGGTTAAAACTCTTCAAGCAAGACATGGTTCAAGATCAGATTTGTTAGTTTCGGCCCCAAAATGGCCTGAATATTGCAATATTTCAGGTTACCAGAGGGGCCCTTAGCCAATCAGAGTGCAACCTTCGTTTATATGTTCACAAATCATATGTGTTTGGTCGATTTGATGGCGATTTCAAGAATCCACATACTTGGCACAGTGGGTGGAAATGCACAATACTGTTATCCTTGATCCCGAAATTTGGACTATGTTTGTCCTGATTCTTTGCCAAATCGATCAATCGAATCTTTGTACTCACGTTTGTATGTAATCTAAGTGTCACACTAATTTCAGTCACACGAATGTTGAAGTCGTCCAAGAGTGGAATTGATTGGCCACTGATATATTGATCTGCGTTTTGATTGGTCGATCGATTGTCTGTCGATTTGGTTATGCTGATTGATCACTCTAATATCGAATATACTTGACAATACATTGTAGGTTTGATGAGCGATTTGATGTGGAGCGACCCGCAACCGTTCCCTGGACGAGGACCGTCGAAGCGTGGGATTGGATTGAGTTTTGGGCCGGATGTGACCAAGTCGTTCTTGGCCCACAATAATTTGGGTACGAGTTGTAGAGCAATGTGAAATGCAATAACATATATTGACCAACTAGAGTTGCTCGTACGGTCGCATGAAGTCAAGGACGAAGGCTACTTGGTCGAACACGACGAAAAGTGTATCACAGTGTTTAGTGCCCCCAACTACTGTGACCAAATGGGCAACAAAGGGGCGTATATTCGGTTTTACCGGGACCTGAAGCCCCGATTTACCCAGTTCACGGCTGTGGTATGTCACTATTTTTTATAGCATTATCGATGAGCTAACCAGGCGGTAGGAACACCCTCCGATTCGACCGATGGCGTATGCTGGCAACATGGGCGGTATGTTTGGGTTGTAAAAAGACCATCCCCCAGCTTTCGGCTGGTTAGGTCGGGATTCCACTTTTCAACCAGAATACTAGTAATGTATATCATTTCTCAGAGGTCTACCTGCTGTCGTAAGGCAACGCTTGGAGCCCCCCAGTCGCTGAACATTTCATGTTTAGAAAGCTAACTTTATTTACACTCTGCCATATGCGATGGACGTGATGCTTTACAGCATATCTGTAACGGACTTGTCCGACCAACGTTACCATCAGATTTGAAAACCGAAATTAATCATCATTCATGATACAATCACTTTGCAGTGTCCGGATGAACTGTATCCGGAAAATCGGTCTTCGTCAACGGATGAACTTTATCCGGAAAATCGATCCTCGCAACTCAGTTACTAGGTCACCAAACCAGTTCGTCACATATTTCGGAAGAGCATGAATGTTTCAGTGAAAGCCTCTTGTATATCCAATATACTTTAGCTACTGACGACTTTCTCTGGTATTTCTAAAAAATAAGTGATTTCCCCATGAGTCTGCAATTCAGTAATATCCAAGTCATTTCCAAAATGACTCGATAGTAAGCAAAAACTGAGTAGATTGCAAGCAAGGACACAGTTTCCATAATAAAATAGTTCAGATATATTTATACTTGTTTTTTGTATGCAAACAAGTTTATTATTATTATTATTTTATTGTATACAAACTTCAAATGATTTACTAAAAACCAATGTACTGTATTTTCAGCGGCGGCCACTCACCATGGGAGACAAGAATGTACCCCGCGAAGTACGGCTGGCGCGGGCAGCTTCCGTCGCAAACCGCTCTGCACGGCGCTGTAGGTACCTGCGTTGGTTCGCAGCTCTCTTTGAGGTGTTCTCAGCTGCCATACTCTTGTAGCGTGCCATGACGGCACGATAGTGGTCATTGTCCTCGAGGCGCAAGGGCATCAAAGTCGCGTGGAAGTTGGTAAGGGCAAACGTGAATCGCTGAATGTCATCATAGAGTTTCTCACCCCATACAAATGTTGCGTAGGACACCTTCCAAAGCGAGCACACCCGGCCAAAGAAGTTTTCGACAACGACACGGTCAGAAGAAACTTCCTTGTTCCTGTCCATGTCAAATCGGTCTAACGTGTAAACTCACAGGCTTCTTCTTCGGATGTATGGCACGCGCCGACGCCGCAACGCCGATATATCCCTTGTCCACAAGGACTGCCCACGAGGTAGGATGCTCTCGGAACAGTTTCCCGTTGTCGTTGATGGTGTCGTCGTAGTCGTCCTTCGCGAGCGCTTGAGTGTGTTGGTCCAGGCGGCTTCGGAACATGGTGAGGTCAGACACCGACCCTGGCTCGTGAGGACTCATGTCGACAAGCAACCCCTCAGGTGAGACGGAAGCTTCTATCTTAAAGCCGTACAGCTTATGTTTTCCACTGAAATAGTGCTTTTGTTCACCGAAGCGGCCGGAGGGACGATGGGCCGGCTGGAACTTGACGTCCGTCGCATACAGTGCATAGGGGTAGTGAGTGAACACCTTGTCCTTGGAGCGCAGCGTCGTCATGCGGTGCAGAGACACGAAACAGGCGTACAGGAGCTTCGAGCACACGCCGACCACCTTCACGACGAGTTTCTCCAAGGTTGGTGCCTTCAGGCCGAAGTCCACAGCGTGCTTTTCCCAGGTTTGGTAGTGTTTCATTACCGTTAAAGTAACAAAGAACGCGTCTTTGGCACTTGTTGCGGACTTCCGACCACGACCGTCATTCCAACGTGATGTCATAGCAGATTCAGCATTCCCCCAGATGACCTCGAATTCCTCCGGTGTAAAGTTTGTTAACACACGGAATCCTTCGGCGCCAGCGTCAAGAAGGGTCTTGTCCATGATGGGGTTGGTGGTTTCGTGGAACTCGTCCTCTTCCAGGACGGCATCGCCGTAATCGTCCAGGCTTTGCTGGATGTAGAGGTTGTCCGAGGCAGTCTGGTTCTGGAGGCACTCGAGCATGGACGACACGTTGAGGCGCATGGTACACAGGCGATGAAAGAGTGATGAATTATGAGTTATGAGTAAAGGAATGGTTAGAAGGCACTCTTGAGGATAACTGGTTGAGCCGTCGTTGTGAATGGCGCGAATCATTTCCAGCCAACGAGAATTTGAGTCCAAGGGCGATGGAAATATACCTCTATATTTTCATATTTGATCAGTAACTTCATATTTGACAAGTAGATGAGTAAATTACGAGGTTTCTTGATCACTGCTGTAGTTGTCAATCTTTCAGCCAAAAGTCAGTAAATAATTTGATCGTATATATATCGTCAGTTGAGGCACAAAATGCGAAATATCTCGATGTGATTCCAATATATTGCACTATTTGAGCAAAAACTGTATAATTGTTCCAGAGGCCTACTGTAGCGTTCGATCTTTCACTCTGGTTGAAATCTCATATTGAATCACGCTGGAACTTCTGATTGGCTGAATATTCTTGTCCTTTCTTTAAGATTCAATTCAGCGGCGAGATTCAATATGACAGAGCGAATCCACAATATCTGTCCCATATTAAGTTTTGAAAACTTCAGGTAATATAAAATATTTCAATACAAATACCAGCATAATTTTATTCATGACTAACAAATTGTAATGGACAAACTGAATTCGTAGGAGAAATGTTCCTACTATTAATCCAATTCTCCTATATAATTCCTACGTATTTCAACTTATGTCCAAAAAAGTTGAATCTGGATAAAGTAGGACCACCTTCGGAAAGAGGAAAGTGTGGGCAATCCGAACTAGATACAGTATGCTGTTTTATCTCAAGAACCGAAACAAAATTCAATGATATATGAAATATACAAAGTACTTGTATAACCATGCTTAGATTTTGTATTCTGGAGTAATAACCAGAACACATCCGGATAAAATCGGATAAACCCGGATAACCCCGGTCATATCCGGCAGAGTTTGGCGCCAAGTGCTGGGCGGGTTTTGGCAATCAAACTCAGCTCACTTCGTCCAGGCCAGTCATAACAAAAGATGCGCAAGGGGCAACACAAGAAGAACCTCACGGACAGTGAGTGCAACAACCTCCTGCAGCACCCGTTGACCCGCTGTATTCCTCACGGAAAGATTCCAATGGGCGCAGCCGATGAGATGGCCAAGATGTTCGGGTGTACTCCAGCAACTGTCGAACTGACGGGCTCCAAGACCATCTGCCGCCCTGTCCACCAGCGGAAAAAGGGCCAAAGCGGACGCAAGCCACTCCACTATTACCTGCCCGAGCGCATCCAAGCTATCCCGCAGTCCCGGCGCTACTGCTTCCGCTCGGTAGCCCATGCTCTGGGCATCCCCAAGTCAACTCTCCACGCCTACTTCAAGCGCGGTGTCATCGCGCAGTACTTAAGTGTGTTAAAGACGTCCTTGACCGAGTCAAACAAGGTGTGCCGCCTCAACTAGGCACTGAATCATGTCCGTGACATCGACGGCGTAAAGTTCATCGATCCCATGTACGACACCGTGCATGTAGATCAGAATTGGTTCTTCATGACCCGACTTCAAAAGAAGGTCATCGGAGCCACGGGAGAGAAGATCAAGCAGCGGTCCTGCAAGCAAAGCGCCACGTACTGAAGGTCATGTTCTTGTCTGCTGTCGCTCGTCCGCGCTGGGACAAATCCAAGCTGAAGAGTAGGTTGATGGCAAGCTCGGAACGTGGAACTTCACCGAAGTGGTCCCAGCTCAGCGTCGCAGCTGCCGTCGGGACGCTGGAACACCAGTTCTGAAGCCTGTTCCCTTCGAAGAGAGAGACGTACAAGGCGATGTTAATTCACACGGCCGATTGGTGAGTCCAATGCCGTCAAGATTCAGCAAGACTATGCGCGGCCGCATGTGCCTCCTACCGACGCCGATGTTGTTGCTGCCTGCAAGGCGGAAGGATGGGACATGGAGGTTGTCTTTCAACCTCCAAATTCGCCCGACCTAAATGTCCTGGACCTGGGCTTTTCCCGCGTCATCCAGTCGCTTCAAGTCGAGAAGCATTCAACCAGCCTCGAGGATATCGTTGTAGCTACCGAAGCGACGTGGGCACATGTGAGTCCGCTGATGCTCAACAGGAATTTTCTTACCCTGCAGAGATGCCTCGAGGAGGTCATGCTCAACAAAGGTGGGAATGACTATAAGATCCCACATATGAAAAAGGATGCATTATATTCTCGTGGCAGGTTACCAGAAATGGTTTCCTGTGCGAGAAATTCTTGGAGTTTTGGTTGCGCATACTTAAATGGGGTGGACTATTCTGCTCATATGCAAAACCTTCAACGCGAAATTCTAGAGAGCATGGAGTTGGGTGAAATTTGCACTCAATTAGAGGCACTGAATATAGGCCACGACACGGATGTTGACGACGACATTGTCGCTGCTTTGGGCCTAGTTCAATTGTTGGATTTGTAGCAGTCAAAATATAAGTATGAAAAATGAACATTCTTTCTTGGAAATTTGATTTTGCAAAAACGAACACTTATTATGGGACAGAGGTAGTACTACAGAGTGTACTATAGTACTACGTAGTACTGCATAACGTGGCCGACCATTGATGTTTTGCTTGGGTTTCATTTCGCATATTTCAGCCGTTTTTTCGTTTCGCACTATTATAGTAGATTGAAACATAGGTCTTTCGATAGGTAAGAGGATCTCCACCGCACCTCTAAATTTGCTCCCTCCATAATCCACGTACTATTTGATTTATTTCTTTCGAAGTAAATTCTTTATATAAGTCTTATTTAATAAAAATAAATTTTAATTCTTTTCTATGTAGGGAAAACATACGCCAAACACACGTCCTAGTTAGCAAATTTAGGTTAAGATGATTAGGTTATATTTAAATTATCAGATTTAATTTATAAAAAGCTTATTAAAAATTATAGAATAAAACAATTTGTAATATACATAAATAGTAATTAAATTAAATTATATAAATAATAATCTAAATAGTAAAAATGTCCTAGGTCTAACTCACTTGTACAACTGTGTAAAACTGTACTTTATAACCAGACCTCGAATCGACCAATTTGGAGGGACCATAATATCACCTTGATATTTCTGGATACAAAAGTTTAGGGTGCGTTTGGTAACACTTCAAAAATAATATTCTATTTTCTCGCAAAATAGGATTAAGGGTGCGTCTGGTAACATTTCAAAAATATTTTTCCATTTTCTCAGAATATGGGATTAACCCAAAATGCCATTTTCAAAATGGAGGTAAAAGTCCATTTTGTAATATGGTGTTTTGGACCTCTTCAACGAGTAAATCCGACGTGGAATTATTGGATTTGGGTTAAACCTCTTCCAGCAAGACATCTTTCAATTTTGATCAGATTTGTTGAATTCGGCCCCAAAATGGCGTTTTGGGCCTGAATATTGCAATATTTCCGGTTACCTGACGAACCCTAATAATATAATACAATATGCCATCCCTGATCGTTAGAACATATCCACCACGGTTTTGATAGGTCTGGTTAAATTTCGGGTAAAACACACTGCCAGTAGTGGAAATTTTAAATTGGAAGGTACTTACTATACTAATGGTGCGTCTGGTAACCGGAAATATTGCAATATTCAGGCCCAAAACGCCATTTTGGGGCCGAATTCAACAAACCCGATCAAAATTGAAACATGTCTTGCTTGAAGAGTTTTAACCCAAATCCAATAATTCCGCGTGGGATTTACTCGTTGAAGAGGTCCAAAACACCATATTACAAAATGGACCTTTTACCTCCATTTTGAAAATGGCATTTTTGGTTTATCCCATTTTGCGAGAAAATGGAATGTTACCAGACGCACCCTTCGTCTTTTATCAACTTTTTATAAAGAACCTAAATTTCAAATTTGACAGAATTGTACTTTTTATCTTTTTCAATATCGAATTGTTGTGGTATTTACGAGGTCACATGTCAAAAAATCATAAATTTCCTAAATCTTGCAGTTGTCTCCACAGAAGCAGATATTTTGAATATATAGACGGTTTTGACGAGTTGCAACGTTATTATGTCCAAGACATACATTTGTACATCTTGATATCTTACTCAATGACTGATGAATCAAGTTATTTCCGAAGTGATATCATAAATGCTGAAAACCAAATATTTCATCAGGAACGACATTCATGCTCAAATAATATTCAATTTTAATTCCTACTTGATGTTTCTATCGAAAGCCGCAAATTTGTACTCCATACAAAATGCAAGTACACATGGCCTACATCGAAGTTCTCACTCCCAACATGTCCTTTGACAATTACCCACACACTCGATCGGTTGGAGATTATAGTGGTGTGGTGGACTGTACACAAGTTCATGGACGGCGGCAGACGCAATGTCGACTACAACGGGAACGACAGATGCTGTGTTCGGTTGGAGTTTTGACCAAATGGATGGTTTGAATCCTCCACGGGTGTGCTCAATTCCCAACGCATCGGAAACGTCCATCAAATCGGCTTTCTGCACGAAAAGCGTGGTGTTGCGTCCTGTATGCACTTGTGATAATTGGCATTATCCATGATGACGATAGTGTTGGATATCACAACATCCACCAAAGCATCCAGTAAGTAGCCGAACGAGACAACAAAGTACGTGTGATCAAATATGCCGTGGTAGTCCATTGTTTGATTTCCATCAATAAACTTCTCATAGCCCAACATGAAAGACACGGAAGGATAACGGTCGACAATGGTAGCAATGAAACAAAATCGGAGGCCTTTGTTCTGGCCTTGGCCTGCACATCCAGGTCGCCGGTTGAATCGTACAATGATATGTCGTTCTTGTTGTAGTGCTCGTGGATGAAGGTCTGGTCAATGTAGACGATTGTTCGACGGTATGTTGGATGTATCTGTATCATAGCCTGACACATGAACCGTACGTAGTTGTCGAGAAGGATCGTATTGGCATCTGTGAGGGCCAGTAACTTCTTCCCTGCTTCGAGCGACGCAGGTAGCCACAATGTTTCACGAACGTTTGTACCGACCACAGTGTCGTTTTACGTTCCGTGTTGACGTAGGGGTCGTACGAGAGGTGCGCAATTTCGAGTAAGAAGACCGCTACGTCTTTGGTAACCACGCGGGCTCGGAATTGACGCTTATCACGCACAAATTGTTGGACCCATGATATGACGTCAATGGTTCTGGGAATCCGAGTTTGTCTGTGTGAGGTGTTGGACAGTAGCTTAGCGGACACTACCGCCTTACTGTTACTATAGCCGCGCCATCACACAGCGTGAACTGTTTTTCTTGAACTTCCAAGGATTTGAACAATTTCGCTTGGAACGTCACTAGATTTACCATTTTTGCATTAACCTGTCGGAGACACAAGTTGGACACAGCCTGAACTGTTTTTCTTGAGCTTCCAAGGATTTGAACAATTTCGCTTGGAACGTCACTGGATTTACCATGTTCACATTAACATTCGGAGATACAGGTTGGCTCGTAGAAGGTCCAGTCTTTCTTCTTCAGTCGAGGCCCTAGGTAGATATGACTGCACAAATTGACAAACTTCATGGAACATTGCGTCATCCACATCAAAGTCCCCATTTGTAGTCATGGAGAGTGCAAGAAACTCGCAGCCTGTGTCCTCAATAGCATATTATGTTTTCATATTATATTATGTTACAAAGGGGATGAGTTTTCAAAGTACATTTGTTTCAATTTTTTATAGTTACTCTTAGATTGCTCGCACAAAATCATTAAACTAACATATCCATTGCAAAAAGCCGCGTTTAAATTGGACAAGTATGTCGACCAGTACGAGTCCAAGACCCCTCGATAGCTTGCTGTAAAGTAACACTTCTGCACCAGAATCGTCTATGGTATACCGATTCTTGCTGGTATCATCTGCCACCGGATCCGTACTAGTACTGTGACCGTCTTCAAAGAATATCTGGTTTATAGCACTCTGATCGAGTAGCTTAAGTATAGAGGTCGTGTTCATTTGGATCCTTGTGTTACTGCGACACCCCTTCAAGTTGGCGTATGACGTAGATCGGCATACCGGCATATCGCTATATATTTGAGTGGCTGAGGAATATCTAAAGATATTGATCATATTTGCTGTCAATTACAATAATTCTCGATTTATTCACTGGGTATTGATCTTATGTCAAAATAGCTAATCATTCGATGGATCTTCAAATTGATCATAATTTGCGTTATTTCCAATATACCCTTAGCAATATATCCAATATAAAGATTTTCTTGAGGCCGAGGCTCTTCCAAGCCCCACGTTGGTCGTCTGCATTCAAGATGTTAGACCGCTTCCAGAAGCTGCTGCCTTCGCTCGAACGGATGCCCAAGCGTGAGAAACTGAAGAGCCGTCCAAGGCAATGCTGAAGCGGATGGAACGCTCCCTCCCTCTCCTAACCAAGTGGCAGAGCGTGACGAAGTACTTGCAACGTCGCCACTGCTCCGCCGCGAATGTCCGTGACATCTTTGACAAAGTACTCTCCGAATGGCCTTCGATGGAAAGTCGCTTTGCTTCGGAAGCGAGCATCGTCCACTGGAAGGAATTCGAACACGCCGTCGTAGTCCTCACAGCAAATCAAGCGCCTGATGGACCATCAGGCGCTTGTTTTGCTCGGTGTGGATTTTTATCATGTCAGTCTGCTCCTCAGCAAAATTGCTCATGGTAGACATCGATGCCGCTTCACTTGCCTGGACCTTGGGATTGCGCAGTAGTGTTCCCCACGCGACGAACGCTTCGATGTCGACTCCAACTTGCTTGGCCACCGTTTCGATGCTTGTGCAAGTGGCGCCGACGCACACAGAGCCTTGAACATAGGGTGGGACCGTGTAAGATATGCCGTAAGCAGAGTGACGATTTCGTTCTTGATGTTGTTCTTGTTGTCTTGCATGCCAATGCATGACAAAAATAGTTCCGCTTGCTTCCGTGCAAGCTTTTTCCTTGTTGCAGCATCGAAGATCTCGAAGGCCGGAGCCACCACGGCCTCAGCCGGTCAACAACTAAAAATGCGGGCAACCTTCTGGTCCTCGTTGAGGTATTTGAAACGTAAACAAACGCCTTGTTTGTTGCTGTCATGTTCCAGCTGCAGCGGTTAAAGGTAGATTGCGGCGACAACTCGGACGAACCGTTGGTAAACTGGCTCCTCCACCGCACAAGGATATGATGCCATATCAGCTAAGAATCCTGCCCGTTGGCATATGGGGTTATGTAGCCGGTTGTGATATGTGGACCTCAGGCAGAGTAGCAAGTGACACCTTCATTGTAGCCGCTGCATTCAGAGGACCCTGACGACCGGTCCGAGTTGTTGGTTATGCATGCCAATCAAGGGTATCGACGATATCGCGTCCCATATTTACTGGTGCTTCAAAAAATGTTACTTGCCGTGAAGGGCGGCATTGGGCGTCGATTGCATCACCACAGCAGCAGCCATTGCGGTAAGGGGGCAACGAAGGAATTCCTCGTCATACAGTAAGTAATACAACGAAAACCTTATTGAAATGATGGCTTCAGTCGTTTAAGCGAACGATTAGTACGCCGGCAGTGCTGATCGTGAGATATGCCTTCTAGAGTGAGGACAGGTCCGACGCACAACAGAACAGAACAGGTACCTGTGTTGTTATGTATCATCTACACAATATGTGCATAATTGTATATATAATATTTCACCATTGTATTACTTGTAGACGTTTTTAAGGTTTCCCTACTATTAACTAGCTCACCAATCATGTCGGCACCGACGTCTGTGGCGATGGAAGAGGCGCTAGAACTTGTCGGTGTTGTTGGCCGTGAAGGTCCATCCAATTCTTCCACGTTGACGGTGCACGATGATGTAGTCTCCCTGAAGAAGTAGGTACCGTCTGCGCTTCTTGGCGCGGACACACCGGACTACATGTACACAAGCCCGCTTCATGAGGTTGGAATGTGGATTGGGAAATACTAAACATTTGACTGGATTATTGTATTGTATTTTTTGAAATCTGCATGTGAAACAATTTTTTCTACACCAAGCTACCGTGGCTCCCATAAATATCCGTGCAGTGGATATATTTTGGCAGAATGGCGCCTTAGCAATCAACACGCATCTGTGAAGCAAAGTAAAGATACCAAGTGATAGACAAGAGTTACTCCAACACGATGACATGCATGGAAGATCAAACGGTGTATATCATTGAGCTCAAATGTTGGAAATATTAAAAGTACCACTGTCAAAAGTGTCCGTACAAAACACAACTACTACATGGAAATTGAAATTTATCGATTGATTAAAGGCTATTTATTAGTTAGTACTTGGTTGCTCCATCTTTGTTGGAAATAACCATACCATAACGACTCGGACAAACATTTGCTTGATATGTGCTTCGGAAACGCACTTAAGTGGATTTACACATTAAATGCGAATAGTTGTACCACAGGCCTTGTCCGGGTAGCGGCACGGCCTGCGGCCTACCTGCCGCTTTTTCCGACAAGAGGAATCGATTGGACATTCGGTGAAGTGCACGATTGGGGCTCACTCCTCGCCAAGGCACCGCCTGCACAAAATTATACACACAACCTCCGCTACGCTGCGGAGCGCAATTTTGTGGTCGGATGCTCTGTCGTCGCTCGCTACTGTAAAGCTGATCGTTCTTATGCGGGTGTATACAATACACAAGTATGGCCGAACATATTTCGTTCGGACACTTTCACTCGGACAAAATATGTTCCCCTTAAGTCCAATACAAATGTCAAATATGTCCGACTGAAATTGTCCGAACGGTGTCCGCAAAGTGATCATATTCACCCATGTCCAATCTCTTTGACATACTAGAAATGAGTTTACGTACATATTCTACAGACTTTTGGTCCCAAATATGCTGTAATCCTGGCCTTGAGGTTGTCGAAGGATGTCGCCGCCGGCTTTTTACAGAGTTTTCTCCCGATATAAGCCCACAGGTGCTCATTGAGGTTCAAGCAAGTCGGGGTTTTAGGGAGGATGCGGCAGTACGATGACTTCGTATTACTGATTTCCACCCGACATTGGAACAGAGCGAAAAACGATTTTTTCACACGATATTCGGATTGACAGGTATTACTTTCACTCAAGGTTGGCTGCATCCAACCGATTACTCAAAACCGAGAGTTCACTGTAAGTCCGTGCTTTCGTTGGAACATGAACAACCACCTTTTTGCAAATGATAGGCGATCGGCCGTTGGGATGGTGAGTTCGTAACAGTCAGCTGTGGCCTGCTTTCGGATGAGCTCCCCGGTGACTCACACACCAAGCTCCTCGCAGCAACGTAGAACCCATTCAACGAGCTTTACTTCAACGGCAGTCAGTTTAACGTCGCGATCAATGGACCGTGTCTTTATGTCGGCACGCAGACTTTGTGTATGGTAGCGTGTGATCGTCCGCCCCATACTGTAGTTAGTTTTGATGGTGCAGTTCATAGATTCAAGCCTTCTTTTGCTCACACGGCTAATTCAGAATACGTAGCACTGGGTTGTTCTATATGCCTCATATACAAGGCGTGCTTGTCTTCCAAGGTCATTCGCGGCTTCATGTTTGAATTCATGTTTGAAAACGAGCTTACCAAAATACGCTTACTTGATGGACATTTGAATGTTTGAAAAAAACCTTGACAGTGTTATTCTTTTCTACGAATTCTTGCCCGTTTCTGTAGGGAGTTGATAACGCAGAGGGAATTGTAAACTGATTGATTGGCGTTATCTACATGCATGACTACTGTGACTATACTATATCTAATGCTATACATACGTGAGCTCTGCAGAAGGAACTTCTGGTGTCAATGGCCGAGCACGCCGCACGCCAATCGAGCTTGGTCGTAAACTGACGTCAACAGTGACGTCTGTTCTCATTGGTCGATAACCCTATGACGCCACTGGAGTGACGTCGCTACATTCTCCCCCGGTTATCGACTTCGTCGCTTGTATATTCGCTCGCAGATCTTGAACCAGTCGCTTGAAATGGGAAACATGTTTGATGTCCCGCTCAATTTCCCAGGTAGCTTCGTATTCGGGCAAGCCATGCCACTTTGACGAGGTACTCTTTTTTGCGGTTGAACTGCCGTTGCTTCATGAGCTCTTCGACGATGAAGACTTCGTGGCCACTGTCGTCCAAAAGCATTGAAATCGCTTTGGGTATGGGTCGGTTGGTAAACCGATCCGTTTGGCCTGGGCACTTCTTCAGTCGATCGACATTGAAGACGTTGTGAAGACGCTTCATTCTCTTTGGCAACTCCAACTTCATAGCATTCGGGTTGATTACATGTATGATCTTAAAGGGACCAATGAACTTCGGTACTAACTTTGGTTTCTCATCCTTGTTCACCAACTTCGCATGCTTGACGGGGATGTTGCGTGTCGCTAGCATTACAAACTCGCCTTCGCGAAACTCCAATTTGGAGCGCTATTTGTCGTAGTAGCTCTTTTGACGAGCCTGGCTTTGTCAAGGTTCTCAAGTGCCATCTTGACTAATGCTTTACGTTGTTCGGAAAAGTTCTTCGCGTACTCATTCAAAGTTTCAACTTGACTAAGAACGGGGTTACGCAACTTTCTGCCCGTGTCCACTTCGAATGGAATGAGTCTCGTCGACGCTGGAATCAATCCTTGGTGCGCATACTCAATGGTGCCGAGGTGCTCTGACCAGTCATGTCCGAGGTAACTGACTTGGCAGCGCAAGGCATCTTCGAGTGTCCGATTTTGGCGCTCTGTGGCTCCATCACTCTGCGCTCTTCCTGCAGTCGTCATGAAGTGCTTGACTCCCATGATTTTCATGAGCTCCTGCCAAAACTGGCTGGTGAACTTGGAGTCACGATCACTGATAATGACCGCCGGTAGGCCATGGTGCCGCACTATTGTGTCGAAGAACTCCTTGGCCACTTGAGGAGCATCGACAGTCGACGTCGTAGCACAGTACTTGGGTCGTTTGGACGTCTTGTCCACGCACGTCATGATCGCATCCTTGCCATTGGATACAGGCAAACCCGTGATCCAGTCGATGGAACCGTGTGCCAACACTCATCTGGCGACTTGATGGGAATCATCTTGCCGTTGGCTTTGACACTGCTTTCTTGTAGCGTGCACAGGTTTCGCAAGTAACCACGTAGAGCTTGACGTCGTCCTCAAGTCCCACCCAGTAGTACCATTGTGCAATGTGAAGTTGCGTTCGACGCACACCTGGATGCGCCGTTATGCTGGTGTCATGACTCTGCGAAATGATCTCGCCTTTCAAGTAGTCGTCGTTCGGCACACACAACTTCCAAACTTGGTCTTTCGACTTGACGAAATAGAGTCCATCATTCATTACGAACTTATTGTCGTTGGCAAACTCCTTCGTCTTCTCGTACGCCTTCAGGAACCGTTTTTTCAGGTTCGAGTCCATCTTCACCATGCTGTACGATACTTCTTCCGCGTGATGGATGACGAGTTGTTGAGGAACTTCGACTTCGACACTACCAACGCACTCCTCCCCCGGAGAAGGCAAGTCCGTCAACAACTGCAATGTGCGGACATCCATGCACTTGAAGGCCGCGACGCGTGTCGTCCACTCATGAACACGACGATAGCGGTCGTAGCATGAAGAATCGCAGTGATGCACTGTGCAAGTGTTGATGTGAATGTCAGCGCGTGGAGGGCGCGACAATGCATCTGCAACCACGTTCGTCTTGCCTGGACGATGGTGCAACGTGAAGTCAAAACTACTGAAAAAATCCAACCAACGTGTTAACTTTGGCGTTAAGATTGGAGTCTTCAGAAACCAGTGACAAGTCGAATTGTCGGTGAACACGTCGAAGTGAGATCCATAGACGTAGGGTCTCCACTTAGTCAGTGCCAGCTTGATGGCATACAGCTCCTTTTCATGAGCAGGCCAGTTGCGTTCTGCGTCACCAA